GGACCCATAAAGTAAATATATTGTTAATACTTATTTTTTTCTCTAAATTTGATTACATTTTATATGAAGTGTACCCAATGGTAGATGTTGTTATCAATAAGTGATGTGATAAATATCATTATGTGTTACGTTAACTTTAAACAAAAATGCAGGAAGTTCTAATTTCATTATAATAGCAGATGTGTGATAGCAGATATGTGATACACAAGTTACGTGTTAAGCAATAAAAAATAAAATGTTTAATATATATAAAATACTTCGAAACGTAGCAGACAACTACATCTACATTATACTCAATTTTTATGCAAGTGGAAAAAGTTTTGTTTTTTTGTAATGATGCGTCAAATTATGTTATTACTACTGTAACATTATCATCTGGGAAATGATTGTTAATACATTTCATAATTAAAATTACTTGATAAGAAATGTATCATTTTTGATTATACCCATAAGTATTTGTTGCATCACAAATACCAAATAAAATATATCACCAACACCTTATATCTAAAAATAATAATTACTCGGAAGAAGTTACTTCTTAATAACACTTTCTTTTTCATAAAGTTGCATTAATTGCAAAATGCTATTTTTTAACTATTTTATGGGATTTTAAAAATGATCTTTAGATAGGTTGTTAAGATATGGTTACTTCAATTGTTCATGAATGTTTGTGCCGTGGACAAATTTATAAAGAAAACATTAGGTATTTGAAACGAAAGAGCAAAATTATCAATACCAATACTTTTAAATAGTCTAAGCATTATGTAAGTTTTAGTGTTTAGAACAAGAAACAGTATATCAAGCTATTTACAAAGACAATTTTGCAGATGCCATCACATTCTTGAACATGTGTTGTTCTATATTATTATCTATGCTTGACCTTTAAGCAATTATAATGTTTACTCAAAAAAATGTAAATAATTATCAAAATAAAGACTTAATTTGAAGAAAAAGTGCGAAAACTGCTTCAAGAATATTTAGATTGATCAAAATTAAAAGAATAGCATGTATATATTCTAATACTACTCAATCACTTAAGCCATGTTATTTATTAAACTGTGTATTAATAATTAATGTATTTTTATAACATTCATCTAAACTTTTTGCTGATAACAATAGTAACTATACCAGATAAGGTTTCTTTGTTTTTTTAATCTTAAATGAATATACGATATGCATACATTGCAATTTGTACAATATACATGCAAAGGGTATTAATAAATTACATGTAAGATATTAATTATTATAACCACAAAAAACAATGAATTTAGCTTTCAAATTAATAAATAAATACTTGTATATTTGTAAAACTATTAGTCGGATGTTGCCCTAATCATTTATGAGATACACAAGTTGACGTTATACCTGGTATAAGAAAATGTTTTAAATTCATTTAATTGTGGGTTACGAATTGAACTTAGCGGGTATGACTGAAAGCCCACATCTGTACACAAGTATAGTCCTAAACGTTATTAAACATATAGACGCTGATGCTAAAAATGAATATCTTAAAAATGATAGGGCCTATTAGATACCAGACACATTTTATTGTTGTTTATAGTAAATATGCACCATCGGAACACGCTGTAAATGAAACTTCAATTCTTAGAAACACGTTTAAAAACATTAATATACGGCTTTAATCGCACACTTTATTTGACAAAATGAAACTTGTATGGCTCTAGGTCGAACGAATGAGACAAAATTAGAAATGGTCTTTCAAAAAATAAAATTGTAAAAAACGAGATTTTAATCAAAATAATTTGAATTGTTATCTGTTCCCATATCATTATCCACGTACTTGATTCAATATGTTTTTTATATCTATTTCACTAAATAAATAATGCCATACAATAATAATTTCTATGTATTCGTTTATTTATTGTGACAGTACTTTAGGGTGCACAAATAATGCAATATACTAATTAAGATAATCTTGAGATTATGTTTGATTTTAATTGAAGGAAACAAGTTTATTTATCACATAAGAAAAGGAACAAAACATGTATTAAACTTAGCGGAAAAAACATTCTAACACACAAGCTTTTCATATTTATACTAGAATTTTGTTATTCATGTTATTCATTTTATGTTTTATCTTTCAGATGGAATGTCAGATTTACACACAACGGAACAAATGTAAGAACCTTTAAAAATTTAAACTTAATGTTAATTTGAAATGAACTATCTATATTGAACTTAAAGTAATAAAATTTATATACAATTAAGTAATTTTAAGTATAACCGTTTCATACCTTACAAGTAAAATACACTTCATGTATTATATGATTTTGAAATATAAATACATAAAAATTGAAAGTATGCAGCAAAAATGTATGTGCTACTTGAATACAACATGTTCCTTCATTTGAAAATCAAACCGAAATTTTGATGACAGAGAACTGTATATATAGGTATGTTACAAAATTAACATTTAAACTTCTTTCAATCAAATTTGTCCACATTATAAGTTAGATATATGACATTCTAAGTTATGAATATTCAAGCTGATCTGTCTGAATAGTATGTTATTGTTAAAACTTTCGGAATAATGAAATTAAATGTTTTGATTAATTTGTACATAATCATGCGACGTTCTCAGTTATTGTAATATAAAGTTTTACGCACATCGACTTATCTGTGGCATTCATTCGATAGTAGTGATGCGATTAAATTTAAGCAATTATATTCAAGATATTAAGCAGATACATATTCAAATAAGTAGCACTAAAGAAAACATTTAAATATGTTGACAGTCAGCAAACATATTCTTATTAAATTATGTATAAGTATTTATCAGTTGATGATTGGTATCCTTTTTTAAGTGTATGGTTATGATTTTTTTAAGTGTATGGATATGATTTTTTTAAGAGTATGGATATGAATTTTTTAATGTGAAATAAAGCTCAGACTTAGTATTAAGATAGCATTACAATGTAATGACACCGTAAATAAAGGTTAATAGAAACAAAACATTATATAAGTGTCAGTAGAATATTTAAATATGTTTTGATTCCGAAACAATTATAACAATATTATAATTAAGTATTAAGGAATGAATAAACATAAAAGCAATTTGTTTACTAGGCAAAGTTAAGAAGCATGTTTGCAATGTTTCACTTGTGAAACCTTGGAAGATGGTTGGAAAAACATCGGTCTTTAATATTCTCTGAAATGTTTTTTACAACGGATTGCCTCTAAAATGCTGAACTGTGTGTAACACCCTTAGCTGTTATTATTTGGAGTACAAACCTTGAATTTCTTAACCCGGCCAATCCTACAGCACCAAACGTTTCGAAAATTGTTGTCTTTTTGAAAGCAAAAATAAGTCACACTATCACGTCATTTGATTAAATTACAGCTAAACGCGACATACAAAACCACAATTCATTTATATCTGCATAATTATCAGAAGAACACGATGATAAACTTTCCACAAAAATCCGAATAAAATAATTTCCGTGATTTATTAGAAATATAGATAAAAATCTGCATTCACTTTCGTAACAATGTAATTATTGGCGGACGCGCATGGATTTGTTTCATTTCTGACGTCACAGCGCAGATTAAACAAGGATGATAAGCCATTTATCGGAAAAATAAAAAGGGCGATTAAAAGTAATAAAAATGATCGTTTTCCTAAACTAATCTTACACGCTATTTGAATGATAAAGAAATGCAAAATGGTTAACCGTCTGATCAAGTTGGTTCCCTCAAAATCTCAAAAATGGCCAGTGACTTGACTGACGGCACGAGTACACTAAGCAAACGATATCGTTTAAAGAAAGAAAATAGTTATACTTACTAAGAACAATATGTACTTAACGTCAATAACGCTGTGGTGTTTAATAACTACTATTGGAATAAATAAACAGACAGCTATTTGTCATCTTTATATGAATTGTTTTTTTAAGCATTCATTAATTATAACAAAAAAAGTGTGAAGATAATACATGCGGAAGTATTTTATTGCTACTATAATATCAATATATTGCTTTTGCCTCTGTTTCTATTTAGTTTAGATGTCTATATGCCTTTTGTTTTGTTACAATAATCCATTGCTTTCACAAAGCATGAACATGGTAATATATATTTTCTTAAACAAGACATCTTTGTTTTTCATATAACTGTTAGACAAATATTTGCACGCTATCGGCGTGAAATTTAACAAATAACAACGCACAGTTATGACCGTTATGTAATAAATGTGTGTGTAAATGTATACCTGGTTGTGATAATACATTTATTACAATGAACATATCTACAGGACTTTAAAATTATCATATGACATATGATGTCCAACAGTCATTTTTATACAAGCTACTGACTAAATATAAATGATTTGATGTTCAATTGACAATTACAGCAGAAAATCTAAAAGACTGAGACTTTTCAAAATTAGAATCAGGACAATTATTGTTTCAAAAATACATATGGTTATTGTGACAACACTTTAATCTTAGTTTATTTTGTGTTTATAAAAATAACGATTTGCTATTAAGTAATAATCTGAAAGTTGTGTTTTCTGGAAAAAAAAACAAAAAGAAACGGATATTGTTTTCATGTAAATAACAAAACCAATAATGATAATTATAAAATAATAAAACATAAAAAAAGTCAAATGTAATATTACGTAAAAAATAAAAATTTCCACCTGAGTAAGTAAGGTAGACAATGGGTAATGCATTACCTCCACTTTGAAGAGTTTTCAAATAGGCTAGAATCAACTGCCAACTACATTGAAATTGAGGTTCCTTTGACGTTTACTAATCTATTTGTATCAACTAAATAGAACAACAACAAAGCCAAAATTCTGAATATATAGTATATATTGTATAGAGCATTTGGGTAAAGATGAACTAAAAGAACGGGGAACTTATGCTTTTATAATTTTCATGAAAACAGATTCAAATTATAAACCTAAATTCTGTGATACAATTAATCTTTCGGCCAAACAGTCTTTAATATATCCATCTTTGGCGTTCTCGTTACGCCATCTACCGTGTCTCTTAAAAAGTCTATCTTTTATACCGTTATTGGCAGCTGCAGTAGCACCACCTGATCTCAAAGAATGCAAACCATATTTAGAAATGTCTGAAACATGATCTTTGAATGCTTCGATAAAAAGTTCTCTCAGGGTTGTATATGATATTGATTTATTCATGTCTCTCAGTTTATAACCGTTTTTGCATTTGGAAATACCACAAAATATGTAGCCCTCAGATTCAGAATCAATTTGCGCCCATGTCAGATAACGTTCTAAATTAACCACTGGACATAATGTGGTACCAGTACGTGAAACAGTTACCCACGCTCCATCTCTATATACATCAGTCTTGCTTGATTCAATGAAAATATTTATATATGTTGAATGAAAAACGATATCTGATCGTTTTATCTTCAATAATTCTTCACTTCTTAAAAATCCTGCATATGCTAACAAGCACGCACAAATAATCCTTTGGTTTTTCACGTTATTCTCGCGATATAGACTATTAAACATTTTAAGTAACAATTCAGGTGTCACAGGTTCTTTCTTAACAACACTCTTAGACAGTCTTCTCTTAGCACCTTCTAGTATATTTTTCACGAGCATAGAATCAGTGGGTGATTCCATACCTAACAAGTCATGCATCCATTTAATACTATAAAATGACTTTGATACTGAACTAAACGAATTCGTAGATTGTACAATAGAGCACAAATAAATACCAAAATGAATTGCTTTAGCCGGGAAGATGTCCTTTTCACCCAAGGAATTACTCAAGGCCCACTTTTTCCACCGAATGAAAGTTCTGTAATAAGTTTTGGTGGTGCTTTCTGCGCGAGCGTCCTTCAGTAGTTCCGGGATCCAAGGCACCTTGTCGACTAACACTTCCGGTAAATCATCTATATCGTCAGAATGACACTGAAAAAACAGATTTATAGAAAAATAAATTATTAGTATCATTAATTACTAACATCAATATTCAACAATTTAATAGTGATTATATTGATAAAATTTCCGTTGCATACAGTTATCATTAAAGCTACATTATATGCATATGTATGATACTGAACACGATCATTACACATAAACCATAAAATCTGATTTTTTTTCTTTTTCATTCATATGTTATCGAAAGCTTGTCACATTGTTTTACATTCTGGCAATTATAAAGGCAGCCATGCCAATTAAACAATATATATTTATGAAAAATGTCATACATATTATCAAGGCTTGTCAGCCTACATAGAATATTCTAATCTATGTAGCAATTATAATGGCAGCTGCGCCAAATAAATAATTTATACATATTATCAAAGCTCGTCAGCCTAAACAGAATATTTCAACTATGTAGCAATTATATAGGCAGCCACGCCCATATTATAACCTACAGATATGACTTCTATATAAAAATACATGTATAAATCATTCATCAGAACAACGGTACAATCTATCTTGAGAGAAATTGAAAGTAAATAAAATAAAAATGTAAAAATTTACCCCAGCTAGAAACGGGTTAACCAATATATGTACTACAAAATTTAAAAAATTATTCTCAATGCCAGCATTCTAAATTTAAGATTCTCATTTCCAAAAATACCCTTTCCATTTTTACAAACTGTGTAATTTTCTTTGTTTGTTGGTAGATCAATCCAGTCAACAATATTTGAAATAAATTTGCCCTTTTGACACAATAACGGCCAAAAATTAGCCGATTCCCACAAAGGCACTATCAATACACCATTAGTTTTATCTAACTGCATCTTTTTGATAACTCTAGCTAATATAATAACTGGTGGAACAAAAAGACCCATTTTCTTGCCCCAAAATTCAGCAAATGCGTCTACGCCTGAGCATGTCTCATTCCAAAATTGAGAATAAAATGTGGGTAACTTATTATTGTGACTGGATGCAAACCAATCCACTTCAAGTATGCCCCATTTATTTTCAATCATATGTAAAATATGACGGGATATTCCCCAATCATCTTTATCAATTATCTTGGACAAATAATCAGCTTTTTCATTTTTCTCTCTTGGTATCCATTCAACATCCAATATTATGCTATTCTTCAAACAATAACTAAATATATTTAGAGCGATTTCTTGCAAATCAATTTTCATTGACCCTTTTTAACAATGGTGCTAACGGCCTGGTTATCAGTAAACCATTTGACATTGTGACCTATCAATATTTGTCTAAGAGATTGTATAACTCTAAATACAGCAGTTAACTCTCTCCAAGTAGAGGATCTTAACTTTTCAGTATTTGACCATAAACCATGAGCCACCCCATTTACAGTTTCCATCTCATAACCTGAAAATCCTGTGACACTGGCGTCACTATAGACACACTTAGTGAAAATATCAACAATATGTAACTTGTTAATATTCAAAATTTGTAAATTTTCTTTTCAAAAATTTAATTGAGCCATGCTTTCTGCACTTAAATGAATGTAAGATACCCAAGAATATGCGCTGGCTATATCTATGCTTTAATTTCGTGTCATTATTTGAGAAATATGACCCAACACAATGGACATAGATATAATCTGACCTACAAAACTGGCAACTTTTTTCACATGAACCCGCCTGTGTTTCTTTATGGAATTTTAAACATCCATTAAAGTATTCAAAGTCTTTTGAACCCTTCTATCAGGTATATAAACACTGTTTAGAGTAGAATCAAGAACAGTGCCCAAAAACTCAAGATTTTGCACTAGTACCCACAAAGACTTTTCTGCCTTGGGGACAAACCCAGATTCAAGAAGATCATTATTTTACTGAAAATGCAATATCTTGGCAACCAGGTAAATCTTTATCACATCCGAAACCATCATCTAAAAAATGATATTCATTTTCCCTTCTCCTCTCCATTTGGCAATAAGAGGCCTTGTTAATTTGGTAAAAATATACGGGGCTGTACTTATTCCAAAAGGTAATACTAAAAATTTGAAAAATGTAGTTTTGCCATATTCATCAATCCATGAAAAACCTAAAAAATCTGTATGAGATGGAAATATTGAAATGAAATGATAAGCAGAATGAATATCAAATTTGTACATGTAACAATCGGGTTGAAAATAATTGAGTACGATTCTGATATCCTCGTACTTTACAGACTGTTTCCACAAGTGTTTGTTTACATGCCTTAAATCAAGTATCAAACGTTTTTTCACTGATGACTGAACTAAAACTGTCAAAGGATTAACAACAGTAGGAATTTTATCACATTTTTGAATCGACCCTCTCAATAATAAATCAGTAATTGCTTCATGTACAAAACTACTTTTATCTAAAGGAGATTTATTTTTCTTTAAAATACATGCAGGTGGCAAAGAAAAGAAAGGAATTTTATACTCATTTGTGATAACATCCAAAATAAATTCATTAGTTCCAATTGCTTGCCAAAATTTCACATTTTGTTTTAGCCTATCTTTTACAATAATAGATTTCTGACCCTGTTCGTACTCGAAATAATCATGTGTGAAACTTTCACCGTGAAAATCAATACAGTTACATCTATAAATAGAAAACTCATCTGTCAAATCGGCGGTTTCATTTTCTATTCTGGGCGTTGTCGGTTGGATACCTCTGCTTGGTGTAGGTGCCTGACACGTATGGACAGTCTTTTCTGTAGTGGGAGAAATCCCCGCATGCGAAGCAACTGCCATAAACCTTTTCCGAGTAGGGACGAACATTAGAAGTACTTGCCCCTGCCTGGAAAGTAGCCGAAGCGGAATTCTGCATACCCCATGACTGAAGTGGAGGATTCCTACCATAAGAAGGAGGCCCTGGAAGTAATGCATTCTTAGATTGCGATGTAGACGACTTTTTCTGCTGACTTCGTTTACGTTTACGTAAAGCCCTGTTTTCTGCCTTAGATATTTTGTTTTCGTCCTCGCTATCGCTGGCAACTGGATTAGCCTCGTATTGGCGCACCGTTTCCCAGCCACCCTCACTCGTGTCTGCAATTCGGATGAGTTTATTACGTTGGTGAACTTTTTCGTCAGTTTCCTTCAACAAGTCCGATGCGTTATCAAGTTTATTGTTTTGAATAGCCCAGGTGGCTTGTCCAACCAAATCAACCACTTAAGAGTTAAAAGTGTATTGAATCTTGTTACCTTCTTTCTTCCACGAAAGTTCTTTTTCTTTCAACTTTTTGACCTCCGACGTGGCGGAAAAATTGTTTCCTTTAACGTCTTCTCTCAAGGAACTGATTTCTTGTCGCTGCCCTTTTAATTGATCGAGTACCAACTGCAACGTTTGGTTGATATCAGATTGTTGAACTTCAGTTTGACGAGAAGGTGAAGAATCCATGTTAAAAATTACTGCGACTGTAAAGTATCGATACCCAAAGCTGAATGACTTTCAATTACAATTCATAATGCACAGTAACTCGTGCATACGTAATTAAACAAAACAACTTCTGATTGATACACTCAAAAGATCTATCCAATCCAAAGGAAATTATTTACCGCCTAATTCGCTTCACTTAACCGGCGGAAAATATATGGCGTGGGTTCAAACCCCAGAATGGGTAACATTTTTTTTTTCTTTTTAACATTATTTATGTATCTTTCTGATCCCCTACGGAAGAAAAAAGTGTTTTATTTAAATTATATAATTTTTGTAGGTATTTATTTGCTAAATAATGCCAAACGTTATAGAAAATATGATACCAGATATTTTCAAAGTTAATAAAATAAAAACTACATGGTAAAAGTATTTTATATCTCGCATGATCAACCAATATACCTTAAAGACGTTTCCGGGAGTAGTCACTACGCACATAAACCGCGCATGTCACTTCCCGTTACTTGTTATGTATTTTTCTTTGCGTTGGGTTTAATTAAAGTTGAGTAGTCTTCGGATAAAAAACACAATTACAGCTAAAGTGTCAAAATCAAATATAAATCGCCGTTTAAGATGTCTTTGCAAAAGAGGAGTAAGTCCGGTTCCTTTATTTCAAAGAAACGATCAGAAAGTATCGGAAATATCAAGTTTTTTGCCAAGTCGCATGTACCGGAGAGTGAAAATGACTGCGTAACAGAAGTCAACGCTGATTCGGACGAATTATTTCAGTGTTCTGTTGACAACAATGTGGATGAAATGGGTGTCGATGTGCCATCTTGGAGAGAAGGTCGTAGAATAGTTGAACTAGGATATTTAGCGGACAAGTGCACTGAGTGCAGTGAAAACCTTATTCTAAGTAACATTTCAAGGGAAGTGAGATATGGATATGGGTCTCTGCTGATATATAGACTGTATATGCAGTGTTTCTAATTCTGTCGAGACGAGTAAACGTCACCGTGTAAACAAAAAGGGTCAGAAATCTTCGACATTAAATCCAAACGAAAATATACAAAAAATATATTACTGAAAAGAATTTCAACAGAATTTCCAAACATAAGTTGAAGTGTAAATTATAATTAATTAAAAATTTTGACTCGCTATTTTCTACCAAAACATTTGTGACATCATGATTTGTTGATATTATGTGGCATTGAACTATTTAAAAAAGTATAAAAGCATGTAATGAATAGAAAAAATTGCTTTATTTCATATTTCATATTGTCTTTTTTTCTCTCATGAATAAAAGTTGTGAAAATCTCATTGAAAGATGTAATAATAACTGAAACAAACAAAAATCATGTTTAATTATTTATTTTATATGAAGAATAATAATTATATTTATTTAAAAGAAACATGTAAGACAAGGAAATCTAGTCCTCATGGTGTTGAAAAATTATGAAAAAAAGATACATTATAAAATGGCTATTTTTTACAAATAAAGGGAGGTAATAAAACTGTTTTGTTTTCTTCCAAAACAAGTATGAAAAGACAGCCACTTCTCTTTTTATGCAGTCTTAAGAATGTTTTAATTATTTTAAAACTTTACATTCTTTATAACTGCTACAAATCATGAAAATGATCATTTAGCCATATTTTACTATTAAGGGGAGGTAATAACTTACCATTTTACTCAGAAACGAGCATGGTAAGGCATATATTTCTTTATATTTTCTGTAAGCATACATAATTAGCTAATTGAATTAGAAATATGGACAAATTCTCTGCGTTAGAATTTATTTTACAGACAAAAATATCAAAATTGTGTCTGTTTATCAACCCTTCGGTTTAAGTTTTTAGACATAAATTCCATCACTTTTTACCCAAAATGTACTGATTTTTTTTATCTGTTGTATTTTAAAATGCTCAATAAATATAATTTGAAGACGAAATCATGACTTTTATGTATATTTTTCTTGTCTTTTAATAAAATTATTGATTATAATTGTCTGAATATCATTTTTTTAAAGACATACAGAGTAATGGCACTTGAAAAAGCGACATTGTGAAAAAACGAGCATGGTGACCCTTAGTTTTAAACCTGATTTTTGTTCTTTGTAACCCATAGAACATATGTACAAAAAGGAAAAAAAAATTCCGCGTAGAATCTTACTCCAGGATATGTCTTTAAAAAAAATTTAGGCAAACTTTGAAAACAGCCCCTCATTATGGTAAATTTTAGGGATATTTTGAATAAGGCACTTTAGATAAGGAAATGGTAAAAATAGTGTTTAAAGTGGGTGGGGTAGGGTAACATTTTTATACATATTAAGAACATTTTGTTTAAAACAAAGATTTTGCTTGTGTAATTTGTTACCTGAATGTTATAATTTGTTTCCTAACAATGAGCAATAGAAAAACATTTTACAATGATGATATTACAGATTATTTAGAGTTTCCTCATGTCTGAAAATAAGCCCTTCTAATGACAAAGTCTTAGTTCAGACAAATGTCCATAACTCATAAACCACACGGTAAATTTTATTTAAATTGTGCATACAGGTGACCTTGAAGACATATAACTGTCCTATGTTGTCAATTTTACAGTTCCTTATGGTGCCCATTACCCATGGTCTACCTTAATAACAATCGTGACACATGTAAAATTTCAATAAATATCCTTTGGAATCATTTCTCATTAATCGTCATTGTATTCAAATATACAACCATGAGTGACTTGTATCTAATATTCAACATATTGTATTTTCATTTGCTTGTTCGTGTTTTGCCTCTAATTTGTTTAACACTAACACTAATACCTATTTCAAAAATCACAAATTTCCATTTTAAGACATTGCGGTGCGCTAAAGAATATGTTTTACAACTTGCATGTTTTGGCATACACTACATTTTTGCTGAGTATGAAGTCTGGCAACACTATACTTAGATAACAGTTAACATTTTTGAACAGTTTTTTATATTTTGGATTTCTGATAATATATGAAATTGTTTATCAATTCCTCGAAATTCTTTAATTGACCTTAAATTATAATTCTTTATAAAGTTGATAGGCAATTACACTAAACTGGTGTAAAAATTATCTCAGAAAAATATAGAATATTTGTGATATAAAAATCATATAATAAGACAAAATGTGTACGGTGATATAATTTCGGAAACTGTTTGATAAGTATACAAGTTTGTCATCTGATGATAAACTTGCCTTTTTACTAAATATTCATCCTAGGAAAACAGTTAAATATATTGTGAAAGCTTACCTTTCTAGAAGATCTGTTATGTATTCACGAATCATGAGGACTTTAAGATATGACTGTTCAGATTATTTATTCTAATTGTTGAGTAAACCGCCATATCATCTTAAGAACTTTCATAAATGTATTTCATATCTTAAAGAATATATACTGATTATCATTTGCCATATATTTAATACCTTCTCTGAATGGAACTGTCGTTGTTTGTAGTAAGCCGTGTTTTATTTACCTACTGGCCGATATGTATATTAGACAAATTACAAATCCTTCCGAGCACCAAGTCTGGAAAAAATACTTCCGGGTTATTCGGTACTTTGCGATATTTTATATATATCCTAAGGCATAATCATTATTGAAAGTTTGCTTTCTGTGAATAAATACCAGACTAAATCAAGTTAGTTCGTTAACTCATTTATTTATTAGCCTTGTGCATTATATAAACTGGCTACAACATCAACTCTTTAGTTGTTGCTTTTTATTATATAACAATTATTTTCTTATTACGAACATTTCAAGGGATCATTGCTGTTCGGAGAAACAAAATAATATTTTAATAATTGTCTTCTGTCTAATGTAACATTATTTATAGTAGTCTAATTTAACATTATGCATAGTAGCACTTGTCTTTGTAAAAAGGATCATATTTGAAACTATTAAGATATAGTGAGTTAGGAAGAAAAACAAGTTTACATGGAAGCAAAACATTACACAAAATACCATGCGAACAATTAATGTTTTATCTTCTATATATTCACTGAAAAGGCAGTAATGATTTTCTTATATTGAGCTTAAATCACCAATTTATTTATTATTTTGTTGTATTTTTGCTATTTTTCAGGTTGATCGTGTTTTTTTAAATTCAACTATGCATTATCATTTTGCTGTAGGGATGACGTCTCCTAGTGATCGAATTAAGGTTGTTTCAATTCCTGCAAAATAGACAAACACACATCTTTGCCTTACTGTAATCAGACAATAGAAGTTGGTTTTCTTTCAAAATATGGATGTCATGTAATATATGTTATATTGTTATTTGCATAGATATGTGTTGAAGTCGTATATCGTGAATGATCCACGACCCCCACCCCCAACCTTAAATAAAATAAAAATAATAATAATAATAATAATAAAATGTAACTTGTATAGACAACAATATATAGCTAAGACTGAGTTAATAACTGAAATGTTGAAATCATTCTACATGCAACAGAACACAATTACAAACGATAATGTTTTCCATGATAATAAAAATGTTTACCATTATAATAAGGTTAACGATTTATTTCAATATTAAATAATGGCTGGGTAACTGATCATGGTTACCATTTTCGTTTCTTTCTAAATGATAAAAATTGTCGCAAGCAGTTATATCGTATCAACTTGCTAATACACAATATCCTAGAGCTTTTTGGTTGGTTTCAAAAAAGTAAGTTTTCAGTAGTTTCGAA